ATATTAATACAGCAAATTTGGTGAAGGCAGACCACAACTCTTATCTCGTCTCAGTTGTTTCTTGCTGTACTCTTAACATCATCCATGTTCTGCAACAACTGCCATAGGCATTTTTGTTGTATTATCTTACTCAGTCTTCGTAATATTTCTGCAAGAAACAGTTGGTGACAGAATATGCTGTTTACCACACATTGCTAGGTGAATACGTATACAAGTGAGTCTAAAATTTATGTAGTTTTTTCTACTCTACGTGTTTCCCAAAGTCTGTTCTAAGAAAAAGATTCAAGTAGAGGAAATTGAATTGCTTTGTGAGGAAGAGAACAGATCATACTAATTACTGAGCCAAAACCAGACTGTTGGGCATGTCTGTCCTGTACCCCCCACCCTTTGTTTGAGTGACAAGGAATTGTTTTGGGCCACATATAAAGTGCAGTTAATGTGTAAAGTAACCAAACTAGCCTTTAGAACATACTTTATTATAATATTTGTAAGAGGTAGTCCAATGGCTTGACGTGTAATGCGGTAAATGCTGCTTTTCTCACAAGCCTACCTCAGTTTCAGTTTCCTCATCACCCTTTGCAGCGTGCCTGTTTCTGTTTCCCAGTTTTGCCATTTCATTTCTTTTAGTTGTGCTTTACATCTTTCCTGAAGTGCCTCATCGGGTTTTCCGGCGTCAAGTTCCCTGCCTGTGGCGTGTCTTGCATTTTGCCATTTAGGTGCCATTCTTCTTTGTTTAGTCATGAATCGAATTAAAGTGCATGGCATTATCTTAGAGGTTACCGGATACTGGGCATCATTGGCGTTACTTTGGCTTTAATAATGCATTTAGATGATGAAGAGGACATTCATCTGGAAGATGAAGTTAGTATTAGCAGACATCTTTCCATCTGTGAGAAAATTCTCAGAGTGAAGCTTAATATCTCATTTATTCACTACCTTTTTAAATTCAATTGCAATTTTTTTCTTGGCTCCTTCTCTAAATAGGTATCATTTCTTATAATTTCACCCTTGCTCAAAAAACCTCATCTGCTTCCTCCTACCTACAGAATCCTGCCCATATTCTTACAATGAAATGTAATTATCTTTCCTAGGCCCCTCCATAACTGCTCAGTCATTCTACCTGATTTCTTCTCCATCTCTCTTCCGTTACTTTTATTGACTCTACACTGTTGTTTCTCCATCTTTGTACTCCCAGGGCCCTTGGGGTGCTGCAGGAAACTTCAGGGAGTCCACACAATATGTAAATTTTCAGGTGAGATGCAGTGACATCTTCCAGCACAGTGTGAACCTCTCTAGCTTTAGATATCTTAGTTTTAATATTATATTGCTACATTTCTGTCCACAGCATCATATGTAATTTGCAGAAGTAGGATTTTGGCAGAGTCTTCATGAAAATGAAAGTTGGTGTCAGAGATGAGAGTGGTGCTCACTCTTGACTCCAAGGTTTGGGATTATTTTTTGTGCTCAATAAGCACTAAATTGCTAGTCAGTAAATACTGTACTGCTGTTAGGAACTAACTACTTAACAAATGGAATTTCTTTTGCCTTAGGGGCACCATAATAAAATTCTTAAAACGGGAAAGGAAATGAGTGATACGGTTTATGTTCCTGCCTTTTTTTTTTTTTTTTTTTTCCTAATTCTTAACCATTTTGGATAAATCATACTTAGCCTTCAGAGAGCAGCTCATAATGTCATTTATCTCTAGAAGCCTTTTCTGATCCCCTCATGGCTAATTAATCCTAGTAACAGTCTATGTGTACAATTTCTATTAAGTTGCATTAAACTACTTCATTTACTTGAGGTTACCAATTATGTTTCTGTTTTTCCTATCTCCAGTTAAGTATGCTTTGTAGTGTTACTTCATTCTCTGTAGCAAAGTGATGCAGATATAAAAACTGGTTTCATAATCTCAGCTGAATGAGGTGTTATGTCTTGTTAGTCTAGTTCTCATATTATATCCTTACATGATCACATAGGTCACGTTGTCCACAATTTATATTTGAAGGAATTGAGGTTTAACAGCTTAGTTTTTCTTGTCATCACATACCTCTGGCTTGGGACTATTCTGCCTCCTCTTCTTCATACCATTGATTGTGGAATTAGCTTTTTAATGTCCTCAAGATCCTGTTGAAACTGATTTGGATTGCATTGAATTTATGGATCAATTTGAAAAGAATTAATATCTAAAGAATATTAAGCCCGCAAATATTAAAAGTACTGTGCCAATTAAAAATGAAAATATATTTGAGAAAAATTTTTTTTAAAAATACTGAGTTTTCTAATCCATGTACATAGTATATCTGGGTTTTTTTCCTCAGCTATCTTTTGTGCTGTTCTATGTACAGTTCTTGCATGTGTTTGGATAATTTTTCCTTATATAGATTTTTTATGCTATTTTAAATGCTATTTCAATTTTTTTCAACAATTCCTTGATCATTTACTTTGGATTTTTGTATTTTGACATGAAATCCTGAGATCTTGACTCACTTTTTAATTCTAGAGCATTTATCTAGATTCCTTGATATTTTATATGCATCCTGCTCATGTCTGAAATTCTTTTTCACAATTTCTAGTTTCCCAGCTGTCCTTAATACCGGCCCCTCGTGTCAGTGGGATTGCCGGCCTCTGCTGGGCTGCTCCTTCCCTCCGCCACTGCCTGGAAATGGCCTCCTGGCTGAGCCTGCCTAGGGTCAGGGCTCCTTTCCTTGCAGTCAGTCAGAGAGCACAGTCCTACCTGTCTGTTACCCAGTGTCTGACAGTTCTCTAGTTATTTTATTTTGGTTTTCTTTTCTAGTTGTTACAGTATAAAGGTAATTTTGGACTCTGATTTACCTCATAGCCAGAACACAAGTTAGAGAGGCTTTATTTTTATTTTATTTTTAGTATTTTATTTTATTTTAAAATTTATTTATTTATTTTTTCTGGTACTGGGGATCGAACTCAGGACCTTGTGCTTGCCAGGCAGGCATTTAAGCCACTGAGCTATCTCCCCAGCCCTAGTTTTGTATTTTAAAGAAGGGTCTACTCACAATGTAAATAGTTCAAAGCACAGACCACAACTCAGAAATTATTAAAAACTGTATTTTGTCAAAAAAAAAAAAAAAAGAAGGGTCTACAAGGTGTTCAGGGTCTCACGACTAGATTGGACTCAGTGATCCACCTGTTTACAGCCTCCCAAGAACTGGGATTACAGGGGTGCGCCACCATGCCCAGTCTCAATTGCCATCTCACCGCACCCCGGGGACGGGACTGGCACAGCAGGCCCGGGGATCAAACCCCCAGCCCCTGCGCCTGCTAGAGAGGCTTTAAAGGATATACTATACATGTGGAAACTAGGTAGTTTGTTTTAGCTAAAAGGCATGTAATCCCAGTTATGAAGATGTTGAATCCCTTTCCTAGGGACTCTAAAAATGGAGTGATGTGACATTGTATTAAGATCATCATTATTTTCATCTTTTTATTACCTACTACACATGCTTTAAATATTTATTGATTGAATATCAAAATGATAAGAATCCCATTAGTTAAATATGATGCATTGCAATTTGGAGAGTACCAGGGCTCAAACCCAGGGCCTTCTCACTGAGCCAAATCCTTAGCTCTCTCGCATGCTCGCTCCCTCCTTTCCTCCCTCCCTCCCCCCCTCAGCTTCTCTCTCTCTCTCTCTCTCTCTCTCTCTCTCTCTCTCTCTCTCTCAAATATTTATTTATATATTTATTCGGTATAGAGTCTTGCTACACAGCTCGGACTCATAGTGATCCTCCTGTGTCAGCCTCCCTAGTGCTGGGATTACAGGGGTGCGCCACCATGCCAGATTTCAGTGTCCAGCACCACGTGGGCTCGGCACAGCATGCAGTATCAGGGATCGAACTGTCCTTGTGCTTGTCAGGCAGGTGTTTACACCACCAAACTACCTGTCTCCCCAGCCTGCCTGCCTGCCTGCCTGTCTCTGTCTCTGTCTCTGTCTCTGTCTCTGTCTCTGTCTCTCTGTCTGTCTGTCTGTCTGTCTGTCTGTCTGTCTGTCTCTTTCTCTCTCTCTCTCTCTTTCTTTCATTTTTCTTGTGGTGGTTGTTTTTAGGATTTCCACAAATTGCTAAATTGCCCAGACTGAGCTGGGGCTGCAACTGTAATCCTTTTGCCTCAACCTCCCATAGTGGTAGAGGTTGTTTATGTGCCTCCATGCACAATTGACTCTTTTTTTTTTAAATTGAATGAGCATTTCTATTTGTCTATAAAAGTGACTGTTGATTTTTAAATTGTTTGACTTTTGAGTATCACTGATGAAAAGCAAAGTTCTCACATGTCAGTGTTCTGATATAAAATATAGGCAGAATATCAGCCAGTTTTCTTTGCTGAAATGTATTATAGTGAAAGTATGTCAAAACCTGCAGAATATTTCTATTTATTCATTTTGTGATCATTATATGATTGATTTTCTATGTGCATTCATGGATTTATAATGGAGGTATTTCAACTCATTTCTGATGACAGCTAGTATATGTTGTTTACTGTGTTTTGGATACTATGCTCAACTGTCATATTGTTTCAATTAATTACTAATCTTATGAAGTATTTTATAATTATAATCCCATTTTACAGAAGTGGGATATTCTTACTCATGCAACTAATAAGTGCCAGAGGCAAGACTGAAACCAAATAGTCTTCCAAGCCGATCCTGGGAATTGTATGACAATACTGTATTGCTCCTATTGGCACTTGCTATTATTTTCCTTTATCAAACCAGTATTTGTCTTAAGGTCTGTATGCCTTTCATGCCTGAGTCCTTAATCATTGTACTCTTATTTCTCTCTGCAGTGTAGCAAAATAAGATTTTGCAGGGTTTGTGTTATCCAGTCTGTTATAAGCAGTAGTACAGAATTGAAATTCATTCATAACAACCCATTTCTCACAAAGCATCTCTTTCGTGCCACTATACAACTCTTTCGTGGTTGCGTGTCCAATGTTTCTGACCTGTTGAATTATTTGTTCCTGTTTTCAGTGGATGATTCAGCAGCCACATAAAGCAGCAACATTTTTTGGATGCATTGGGATAGATAAATTTGGTGAGATCCTGAAAAGAAAAGCTGCCGAAGCCCATGTGGATGCTCATTACTATGAACAGAACGAGCAGCCGACAGGAACCTGTGCCGCGTGCATCACTGGCGACAACAGGTAGGCCAGTCTAGTCCGTCGGGAGGCCCTGAACTCAGCGCCTCTGTAAACACTCACAGCATCTAAATTCCAATCTATATTCAGAATTTTAGACTTAATGTTTATAATCACTTTTAATGTTCAGTAAGCCCTTTATATCTTTTTTCCTTTTGTTTATAAATTTAATTTTGTTAAACTTGCTATGGAATTCATAAGGGATAGTGGAAATGAAAGTGTTAGAGTATTGTCTATAGGCTCTGTCTACCAGTTATATTAGGTTCAGGAAAAGAAAGTGCTTTGCTCAGTGTCTTACTGTACAGCTAATTGTATTCTATAATTGCATTGGAAAGATTGGTCCTTTCTTCATAACCTGAGATCAGAATATTAAAACCCATGCATACATGTGCTCATGCATAGGTGTGTGCATTTTACATATATAAAACTTGAAATTAATTCATGAAATTTATGAATTCATTAAATTTCATGGAATAAGTAAATTAAGTTTTGCAAATTAGGTCATCCTTCACAGTTCTGCCAGTCATCCTTCCATATTAAACAACTTCAGCCGTGAGTAATGCCGCACTCAAGAAGCAGCTAAGTGCATTTTTATACACCTTCACTTAGCAGAACATTCTTCATGTGAATTTTGTCTCTCGGGACCTTTCCTACTTTGGTGGTATTCTTTTGAGCTTTCATATCTACATGCAGGTAATTCCCTCAGTATATACATGCTAACCTTATTCCATATAAGCATAAGCTTTTTTCTCCTTTGTAAGGGAAAAATAAAATAACTTTCCTAGCTAAAATATCTGTTAAAATCATCAGAGATGATCCCTTTAGGAAATTTATTCACTAGAAATTTTTTATTCTTGTATTTGGAAACGCTTTGTCTTCTCTATTCCCTGTCTGCTTTTCATTCCTTTCTTTCCTCCTTTATTTATACAGACCCTTAACTCCTTTTCTCACTCCTTTTTTTTGACCTCCAGCAGATACATACATACATACATACATACATACATACATACATACATATGTAATCTGACACTAACTGAACAACTAATTTGAAGACCACATTATACAATACAACAACCATTGTTGAATTCTTATGATTTGTTTGAAGTTCTATATCTGTTCTAATGATTTTTTTTTTTTTTTTTTAATACTAGTGCCCATTGTGGGCACTTTTCTTTCTTTCTTTTTTTTTTTTAAGTTTATTTATTTATTTATTTATTTGTGTGTATGTCTGTGTGTGGCCGTCTCAGCCCACCAGGGGGCGGGGCTGGCTGGCATGTGGTGCTGGGGGATTGAACCGTGGTCCCTGTGCTTTGCTAAGCTTGTTCTAAGTAGGTGCTTTAGACCACTGAGCCATCTCACCAGCCCTGTTCTAATGATTTTTGTTCGTTTGTTTTTTACTCTGTTGCATTCTTTTTAGATAATACGAATTTTAAAAAGATAATCTGGGGCTGGTGAGATGGCTCAGTGGTCTAAAGCACCTACTTAGAACAAGCTTAGCAAAGCAAAGCAACCACGGTTCAATCCCCCAGCACCACATGCCAGCCAGCCCCGCCCCCTGGTGGGCTGAGCTGGCCACACACACACACACACACACACACAAATAAATAAATAAATAAAATTTAAAAAAAAAAAAGATAATCTGACACTATTTTAGGTACTGAAAAGAACATTAGTCATTAAATCACTAAAATTTTCAAACATAATTAGGGCTTTGAACCCATTGTCACACCTTTCCTTTAATTCCTTTTTTTTTTTTTTTTTTAATGCATTTTGTACAGGGTCTCCCTACGTAGATAGATTGGACTCATAGTGATCCTCCTGTTTTCAGCCTTCCAAGCTCTGGGATTACAGGCACAGGCCACCATGCCCAGTCTCAGTCGCCATCTCATGGCACCCCGGGAGGGATTGGCCCGGCACACATGGGATCAAAACCCAGCCGCTGTACTCTGCCTAAGCAGGCCTTTTAGTCTGCTGAGCTATCTGGCCAGCCCTTTAATTCCATTTTTTATGTGTAAAAGAACATAAATGATTTTAAGATTTCAGTAAATTAAACCATCCATTATTAAAATATATTTATTTAGACTTTTGCCCTTTTCAGCTTTCCTAAAAGAAACTTTAATCTGCAGGTCAGAGTTTTCCCATTAATGAGAAATGTATCAAGTTTTGCCTCTGATAAACACTCAAGGTGTGGTAAAATCACAAAATTACTTTAATGTGCTGAATTACTGTTTTAAGGAAGAGTTATGATAAGGTTAGGTCTCCCAGATGTTAGAAACTTAAGTTGTATCCTTATTATGGGTATGGTCATCAGTGTTGTTCAGCTGATCTAAGAAGTTGAAAGTAAGGCACAACTCACCCTAACTAATCCAAGTTCTGGAACATAACAGATTTATAACTTGTTTTAGATATGCTGCTAACTTTATCCAGTTCCCCAAAACTCAGAATTCAAACAGTAGTTTCATTATCAAAACAAAGTTTAGCAGCTGATACCAGACATATTTGCTTTAATAGCCATTTTTGTCAGTTCCTCCACAAGTCATGATTAAAATAACAAAGTTATTTTTGTACATTAGGACAGAGTTCACTATCCAACATGAAAAAGGCTAATATTTCATTTTCTGTCATTTAATTGAACATACACAGATGTATTGTTGAACATAAACTGGCATATGGATGAATGGAAATATATTTTGGAAGAGAATTGATTTTTTTTTTTTAATAGAAGAAGTAAACATTACCCAAGGCTCCAATGATGAAGTGGATTTATTTATAAGCCATAGTTATTATACTTAGAGAAAAAGAAAATTGGGCAAGTAATTTGTCAATTTCAAGTCAAAAGAAAGAAAGAAACCATTTATATTTATTTATATGAAATGTACATAATCTTATTGTATTAAGTTTAATTGTTAAGCTATATTTGTACTATGTATCTGGGTAGTTATAGCAAGAATTTAAGTGCAGACTCGGTCCAGGCAGTTTTTAGCTATAGAAAGTAATTTTATTTGATTCCAGCCCTATATATGTGCTTTTCAAATTAATTCCTCGTAGTTAGTATGGTATACATTTATGTATTTTATAAAATTAACCCTATATATGGCTTTTAAAGGATTATATTAAATAGTCAGTAATAGTATGATAATCTTATTTTTGGAAAAGTACTTTTCCACTGTAAAATACAAGTGAAGTACTTCAGTTGTATAGATTTCCTTTTGCAGAAGATTTAGTAGCTTTCTTTTTTAACTTTATTTGAATGATTAAAATGTTAAAAGTAAGTCTCATTTTAGTATCAAAAGCGACTTCACAGTGCCTGGTGATGTTTAGGAGAATTACAGAGTGTGGCTATTTTTATCTGAGACAACATAGAAGTCTCAGGAAGTTCTCAAAACAAAACCAGTATTATTTGTGTTCATATAAAAGCTCTCACAAAATTTTAAAAAATAGAATCACTGACAATTTTGATGAATTTTAAAATGCTAAAAACCTCCCCAAAATTCACAAAAGTATCAGTAGGTAACCATATAAAAAAATCCTGACAGCTTTGTCTATAGTATAAATAAAATCGAATTGGTTTTTCTTTGGGTGTTTTAGGTCCCTTGTCGCTAATCTTGCTGCTGCTAATTGTTATAAGAAGGAGAAACACCTTGATCTGGAGAAAAACTGGATGTTGGTAGAAAAAGCAAGAGTTTGTTATATAGCTGTAAGTATGTACCTAATTCCCATTTTAGGGTCATATTAACATTGCAGAATGGAGTTTGGGCTGTTACGTGTTTATATCTAATAGTCTTTTACTAAACCTGCAAATTACTTACCCATCTCAAAGCATACTACCAAATGCCCTGTTGTAAACACAGAACAGAAATATGATATTTATTGATGGGTAACATAATTTATATTATTTGCCTTTATCTCCTTTTGGATATATTATACATTGATGTTTCTCAACCAAGCACAGAATTGTTTTTGTATTTTTGTTTGTTTGTTTGATTTATTGACTGATTTTAAAGACAGTAAAAATAATTTTTAAACATAAGAACTGATACAGAATTTCAAAAAACAGTATGATATGAATTCAGTAATGGTTGTTATACTGCATATTGTTGTCCCAACATAGCTGTTCAGATTACAAGATATAAGCATGCATCTGTGTTTTAATTATATCAGCTTCCTGAGATCTTTTGAAGTAACTGTAGAAGCTTGCATTGTACAGTTTTAGGCAACTTGTGATGAATGATGCATGCATTGTATGAAAAATATTAATAATATAAATATTCACTGCAAACAGTTTGTTCTCATTTGCCTAAAAATCTTAATTGCTATTTATTCCATAGTAATTACCATGACACCTTTTAATTTAATATTTCAAAAACATTGATCATGACAAATCTCTTAAATCCTGGAATAAGGGTAGCATGTAATTTGAATTATTAAGTCTTCTGGCATCAAAATAATTAAGAATTCATTTCTAAAATGGAATTGTACTAAAACTCCTGCTGAATTAATCACCCCATGATTACCTTGTTTTTATTTAATATGAGTTAATTGTGGTGCTCACAAATAAGTAGGATACCTTTGAAAATTAAAAGCATCTTATATGTGTATAATATATGGTTTTGGTATAACAGCTGTTGCCATTCTGCTACCTGAGCTATGTGTAACAGCTGATATGACATGTAGAAAATTGATTATCCAATGGGAACATGTTTATTGAAAATATTTCTTTCAGTCTAGTATTAATGTCTCCGGTAGCGAGTTTATATGTGCTGCTGTAGGCTGTGCAGTATTGTTATTGATTCCCCTGTATAGCAAATCCTACCCCTTTATAACTGTCAGATAAATGCTTACATTGAAAAGATTGCAAAATAGAAAGTCACACTATCTCTTCTGCCAGTATGTGAGAAAAACATTTCAAGAAGTAGAAGCCTTTCCCCTCTTTATTATTTCCATTTTGTGTCATTTCTTAACATGATCCAATTTTTCTTTCAAGTTATAGTGTATTTTGTAGTATGGTTCTTTAGGGGGAATTTATGTAATATTTCAAACCAGCTTAAGTTTCAGAGTGTGATTTTAAGAAAGTACACAATGTAAAGTTTGATATGGTGTATGTATATTTGTTATTTAAGTTAACTGAAAAAATAGCAGTGTATTTTGATGAAAAAGTATAGTAGTTGCAAGATACAGAGTTGAGTCGTAACTTATGAGCCAACTTACACAAAACCTCATAATTTTACTGATTATGCAATGTAATGCATCTAGCCAGCTCTGGGAATGACATTTTTATTGGAAGAATAGACACAACCTGCAGACAACTTATGGTTTTAACAATTAGGGGCCGGGGAGATAGCTCAGTAGAATAGGGCCTGAGTTCAATCCCTGGTTCAGGTGAGTTACTTAACAACTATGTACTGCATTTATATATATAACTATATATATATATATAAGTGAACAGAACTTTTGTAGTAGTAGTATTTATTTACATAAAAGTACAGTTTTGCTCAATTTTGGTCAATTAATAAGACAAATTAGAATGTTTTTAGATTTATGTGGCATATTAAGCCAAAAGAAATAGCAAAGTAAGTTTTGATTTATATCTGTGATAGCATCTATTATTCCTTTATTTCTGTATCAGCACTTTCATAAAAGGAATACTTTTTCACAATGTCAGGTAAATCTATACTTTGCTCGGAGCTTCAGATCTTCTGTGATGGGTATTATTAGTATCAACCCAGTTTTCCTTTGTGTATTAATATCATGATATATCTTTTTCTTTAATTTCACTTTTAAACTATGTTTTTATGAAGTACATTTCTTTCTTTTTTGTCTGTACTTAGGGCCGGGTTTGCAGGGTCATAAAGTGCATTTCTTATGGGCAGTGTACAGTTTGATTTTGCTTTTCATGTCCAACATGACAGTGTCTACTATTTAATGGGAATACTTATATCATTCTCATTAAATAGGATTATCAATATGGCTAGGTTTGGGATATTTGGCTAGGTCTTGGTATTTATTTTCTTAAATAGAAATGCTATCTGTTCCTCATCCTCCTTTTTTCTGTTTTCCCCTCAACACCCCGTCCTATTATTACCAGGTGTGCTGTTCATCCGTTCATCTTTCACTCTCACTGTTTTTAAATAATGCTGTGTGCTTTCGTATATACAATAACGACTTTACAATTGTGTTCTTCCACTTCTCTCTTCCTAGTGTTTGTGAATAACTGTTAAATTTTAGTTCTTCACTAATTTTCATTTTCTTTTTCTTTTTTTATTTTATAAACTAGCTCTGTTTGGTCTGGGGTTGTAGCTCTGTGGTAGGGCACTTTTAAGTTAACTAAGATGCGCAAGACCCTGTGTAGATGCTCATCACCATAACACTAGGAAAACAAGTTCTGTTAATACATAATAATTTACATAACGTATGATATTTTTATTTATACATTATTTATAAGCACCACAGCATGCTGTCATTATTTTTGTTTGAATTGTAGCATTTTTGGGGGGAGGCTTTTTGAGACAGGGTCTCATGATGCAGTTCAGACTCGCCTCAAACTCGCTGTATACCCCAGGCTGGCCTCGAACTTGCTGTGCTTTTCCTCTCTCAGCTTCTGAAGTGCTGGGATTATAGGCATGGGCCACCAGGCCTGGCACACTTAGATTTTTTAAAACGATTTCAGTTTCAAGAAAAAACATATGTAGTTAACCTTTCTTCTACTCTTCATTGCTCTCTGTTAGAATCAGGTTTCTCTTAAGTATCATCTTCCTTCAGTCTGAAGGACATACTTTTAACAATTGTTGTGTTTGGCTCAGTTTGTGATAAATTCTTTCAGCTTTTTACTATTTAAAAACATCTTTATTCCACCTTTATTTTTGAAAGTTTGTTTTCCCAAAAAAAATGTTCCTGCAGTTGCTTGACAGGTTTTTGTTTCTTTGTTTCTCTTGTTACATGAAAGACATTTGATAGGTTTTTGTTTGTTTGTTTGTTTCTCTTGTTACATGAAAGACATTGTGACTAAGTGCTTGCTTAGGTAAGCCACAGGGGCTGGGGCGTGCTGAGCCGGCGATGGAGTCCGGCCGTGGTGGCGCGCACCTGTAATCACAGCACTAGGGAGACAGAAGTCAGGAGGATCACTAGGAGTCTGGGCTGTGTAGTGAGACCCTGTACACACGCGTGCACGCACGCACACACACACACACACACACACACACACACACACACTCTCTCACACACACTAACCTAAGAAAAAGAAAGAAAGATGTTGGAGGGAGATGTCCCAGTGCCTTCTTGTTTGCATTGTTCCTTGAAATATTTCAGCTTTTTTTTTTATCCTTTTATATTGTACCTCCCTAACCCTTACTGCTTTTTAAATCTCTTATGTATTAGAGAATTGATCAATTTTATTGTGATGTTTGTTAGTGTTTTCACATTTTTGGTGCTTGGATTTCATTTAACTTTTTAGAGGTATGAATTGATAGTTATTATATTTGGAATGTTTTCAGCCATATTCCCTAAAATTTGTTTTCTGACCCCTTTAAGCCACTTGAAATTGTCTCCTATTTCACTGATGTCTTTTTTTTCCTTCAAAATCTTTTTTCATTTATTTTTCTGTGCCTTCAATTCACTAATATTTTGTTCTTTAATATCTGAACTGTTCTGAACTCTGCCTGCTGTATTTTTGTTTTAACCTTTCTGGGTGCTGAATTTTTTTTTGTTACTATAAATCATCTTGAGGTTTATTGTGGGAGGCAGTTTTGTGTAACAGTTATAGTGCTTTTGAATCTTGCTCTTAAAATATGTCAGGTGGGTACAGAAAAGTGCTTAGTTTATATGGCATTGGTTCTTAACTACCAGCAGTTTTTCCCCTTAGAGATATTGGGTAATATTCAAAGACTTTTTTTAATGATTGGTATACTGTTGCTAAGGTAGAGACAGAGGATGTTGCTAAGTGTCTTACGATGCACCGGACAGCTCTCATATCAAAATATTTCCGTTTCAGAATACTAGTAGGACAAAAGAATAAAACCAGGTGTGGTGACTCATGGCTGAAATTCCAGGATTGCCAGGAGTTTCTCAAGGCCAGCCTGTGCTACATCATGAGTTCAAGGGTAGTCTACATTGCAAGATCCTGCCTCAAAAATATCAACAAATAAATAAATAAATAAGAAACACCATTAAGAAACCTTTGTTTATAGCTAAGTTCTCCCTAGCACTGAGTCAGTACTTTCCAAATGTTCTGTGCAATCCTCATAAAACAGTTGTTATTCTCTAGTTAACAAAATCAAGCAGTACCCACAAATGTATGAAGGATTACCCAAAACTATGCGTACTTAAATTTAAAAAAATTTATTGCAGGAAAATACACATTGCCATTAACCCCCCAAGATACTATGCTTTGCTTCAAACACACTGCCCAGTTCTTCTTGCCACTTTCTGAGACGCTTCTGGAAGTCCTCTTTTGTGTGTGTCTTTATGAGGTGTGATCAGAATTCAGTGAACCTTGCAAAGGACCATTCTCCTTGAAAATGCAGAATTGTAAAAAATATTCTTCCACTGCCACGACAATGCAGCTAAAGATATTAACAAAATAGAACTTCCAGAACTGCTCCAGAAAATAGCGAGATCACTGAGAGAGGGATTCATGGCAATGTGTCTTTTGCTAGAGTAATTTTTAAAATTTAAAGATTCTTTTTTTTTTTTTTTTAATCA